TGGCATCTCCACAGGCCTTGCCCCACGCTTGGCATCCAACTGGGAACATATCTGAGTGATTTTATCCGCCAGATGCCCAGAAAACTCTTCTGTGCAGCCCTGTAGGTGGGTCACTGGGCCCACCTTTCCCAAAAGAGATCGAGTGATCTTGAACAAGGCTGTTGGGCGGCATTCTACGGATGCAATAAGAGCGGAGAAATGTTGATGTTTCACCGCTCTTACCGCCACAAGGTAGGCCTTAATAGCGTCTCTAGCCTGTGTTCGGTCGGATTCAGTCCTTGTTTTCCTCCAGCGGTGCTCTAGACGTCTCTTAATCCTTTTCAGAACCCTCAACTTCTCCTTAAACCACGGGGAGCATTGGGCTCGATGGGTCAAGAGAGGTTGTAAATATAAATATGCAGTTTTCATTGATGAAAAGGGAAAGGTGTTCTGCATTAAAGATGAGTTTTTTTCCCAACTCTTTAATACAAATATACTTCCCGAACTTGTATATAAACATGAAGCCAGCTATAAACCAATTGTTACAGTTTCCCCAGCTGTAACTTCAGTTGGCAACTCAAACCTGTATATTAGGTCAAAGTACACACACAAAAATCATTATATTGGAGAAATTTACTTACAAAAACTGTAAATTGGGGAGCGTATATAGAAAATGCACATATTGGAAGAAATGTGCACAGAATTGTCTGTCAATGGTCATTTGGATTTTTAAGAGAAAGCGCCCAAGTATGAATAGGAAGTTTTTGCTTGTCTCTCCAAGACCTTACCCCAGTTGCTTTGCATGTAAATGTGATCTCTTCACTTTGGATTGGCCCTACAGGTGGCACGACTTTGGGGCATCCAGAAGAATCGTCCAGCCATGAACTATGACAAGTTGAGTCGTTCCCTTCGTTACTATTATGAAAAAGGCATTATGCAAAAGGTTGGTCTGGAGTTGAATTGCTTGACACATGCCATTTAAACTTGGGAAGGTGGACGCTTATCTGTTAAAGAACTGCCAGACTACCTAATCTCTAGTTTCCCATTTCTAGCAGTATCTGGGGCTTTCTGAACACAGATGGTCCTAGGTTAAATATCTGCTCACTGTTCTGGGCAGAGCTATGTATTTTGTGCCAAGAAAATAATGTTGGTTAGTTGGATTAAAAATACAAGAGAAAGTGGGGATGGCAGATTTTGCAATCTAGGTTTGCACCGTGCTTCTTATTTAATAACAACAAATTTAATAAATAAATTTGAAGGGAAGGGCCACCAGCAATGCAAAATTCTAACACATTGGTAACCATCAGGCTAGGTCTTGATGTGCAGCAAAGTCAGGAGACCTGTAGCAAGCAGCACCATGAACTGGGGATTGATCAAGGTGGGATAATTGCCTGGAGGGCACAGGAAGATTTAATGAAGTGTTGCCCTTCTTTATCTTGGGGTGGCCCTATTAACCACCTTGCTCAGCACTTGATGCTCTTGGATTTTGTTCCATCGAACAAAACCCGTCTCATGAGGGTTATAAATCTGCCTTTTTTGCTTTTTTTGTTTTGAAAAAAACTGGTTGAGCATCTTCCCACCTTCGCTGTCTATTTAACTGTTACAAATGCTTACGGTAATGCTATGATCTGTTTATTATATTGTGTGTGTATATGTGTCTATGTGTGTGTGTGCCTTCGAGTCAGTGTTGACTCCTGGCAACTGCCTGGACAAGTCCCTGCAGTATTCTTGGCAAGATTTTGGAAGTGGTTTGCCATTGCCTCCTTGCTAGGGCT